CATTTTCATGTGGACGTATTATGCCGTCGCCCCTGTCCGTCCGGACACGTCCGGACGTCTGGACGTCCGTCCACAATTGTTTGAGGACACTCTACAGGTCACAATTCTTATCCGATTTTGACGAAACTTGAAATATAGGTTTATCTCCAAAATATCTCGGCTGCTTTCGATATTGGCATGTATCGGATCGAAACTTCATGGATTATGGCCCCTGTTTGTACGAAAAATCACGTTTTTAGCTTGTGGACACTATAGAGTTCACAATTTTTATTCGATTTTGTTGAAACTTGAAATGTATGTTTATAACCCAAAGATCTACGTTCCTATAGATATTCGCGCATATTGGACCGTAACTTCCTGAATTATGGCCCCTGATTGTACGAAAAATCGTGGTTTTAGCTTGTGGACCCTATAGAAGTAATAATTTTTATCCAATTTAAAAAAACGTATTATTATATCACCGTTACACCCTAAGGATGAATGAGTTCGAATTTCATGAAAATCGGCCCAAAATTGACAGACAAAATGGCCGCCGTTCGTTCTCAAATAGCGTAAAAATATGGTATATCAAGGTTGTGGACCCTATAGAGGTCACAATTTTTATCTGATTTTGTTGAAACTTGAAATGTAAGTTTATAACCCAAAAATCTCGGTTCCTTTTGATATTCGCGCATATCAGACCGTAACTTCCGGAATTATGGCCCCTGATTGTACGAAAAATCGTGTTTTTAGCTTGTGGACCCTATAGAGGTCATAATTTTTTATCCGATTTCAAAAACCGTATTATTATATCACCGTTACACCCTAAGGATGAATGAGTTCGAATTTCATGAAAATCGGCCCAAAATTGACAGACAAAATGGCCGCCGTTCGTTCTCAAATAGCGTAAAAATATGGTATATCAAGGTTGTGGACCCTATAAGGTCACAATTTTTATCTGATTTTGTTGAAACTTGAAATGTAAGTTTATAACCCAAAGATCTTGGTTCCTTTTGATATTCACGCATATCAGACCGTAACGTCCTGAATTATGGCCCCTGATTGTACGAAAAATCGCGTTTTAGCTTGTGGACCCTATAGAGGTCATAATTTTTATCCGATTTAAAAAAACATATTATTATATCACCGTTACACCCTAAGGATGGCTGAGTTCGAATTTCGTGAAAATCGGCCCAAAATTGACAGACGACATGGCCGCCGTTCATTCTCAAGTAGCGTAAAAATATGGTATATCAAGGTTGTGGACCCTATAGAAGTCACAATTTTTCTCCGATTTTGTTGAAACTTGAAATGTAAGTTTATAACACAAAGATCTCGGTTCCTTTCGATATTTGCGCATATCGAATTGTAATTCCCTGAATTATGGCCCTTGATTGTAGGAAAAATCACTTTCTTCTTAGCTTGTTCTCTATCCATCTCTCGAAAATGTGGGCGTATCCTGCCTGGCAGCCGCTGGTTTTTAATACTAAGGCCAAGGGAAAACCGCGTTGATCCAATACGTGTTTATATAGCAGAATACACCACACATACAAAATGAACACAAACTGGGATATTAAATATACGCCTTACCTTACTCTTCACCAACCTGTTGGGATCTCTTCATTGTTTCCAAAACAAAAGTGAGGAAGGTTGGCGATGGATTGATTTGAGGAAGATAACATGTTTGTTGTTAAGGAAGGTTATCTTTTACCACAAGTGAATTCCATCCTACCCACATATGTGTATCAGTAGTTTCTATAAATACTTGTAATATCATCCAAAAGTTTGCCATCTACACAGCTACTAGGAATAATTGATCTTCTGGGTTAAATCCACTGTTAATCATTCTAAGCTTCTTCCTATATGGTTCCAGATTTAAAAGGATTCGAGTAAATGAGCGTCTTTTCCGACAAACGGGTTATCATTGTCAGTTGTTTCAGTACTGGAACTTGTATACGATACAATCTGCCGTAATTATCCCAGGCAGTACAGGTAACCAATGATGATATCTTCTGTATTGCATGTGAAACAATACTCTGTTCATCCTGTGAACTGTATGTTAATTCGTCTCCAGTTCTCCAATGCCGTTGTAGCTCGCACAGTGGCCAAAACGATTTAAAATACCAGTTACTTCTCTGCTTCCTGTTATACTTTTCATCGCCATTCCAAGAGTCAAATGTTTGGAAGTTTTAATTTTGCCACACGAAACAATGTACATGGCATCTTGAGAAATTGATGCAATTTTTCTTACATATTTTTCTGTTTTTCTTCAATCGTTTCTGTTTTACTGTAATTTATAATCAGTTATGTTCGGCGAAATACGCGAAGAGTCCGAATTGAATTGCTTTATTGGCATCTGGTTATTCCAGTGTACCCTGGTAGTATTCTCATACATGGGATATATTTAGCCTCGTTCATCGGGTCGCTTCATACGAATTGCGCTCGAGAGCATTCTGGTTCACGAATCGTGTGCCAATTTTAACATTTTCATTTTGTCGTAAATATTGGATATCAGAAGCCCAACTTTTCACGATAAGATAACATCATCAATGTTAATTTAAATTGACCATTAAGTCGTGTCTGCAATGTCGAAAACTGTGGATCATATTGAGTTCAAGACTTGGCTCCTTTAATGGAGAATCATATCACTTGGGGGCCAGCCGTGCTGTATTGAATTTCTACTATATATGTTGTTGAAAACTGCAATAGGCAGATTTATCTCTTGCATATGTATATTTAATAGCATTTCATCAGTAGAATCAATACAACTATTTGGGGAAGTTATGGTATATACCATACTTATTTTGTTGCTGGCTGTGAATAAAGTATATCCCGAGTAATTAAGTGTAAGTGATAATTGTTCTAAAACTGTTCTTGATTTATGAAGAAAGTTTCTGATAACTAGGTCATTTCGTTCAATTTTATTTGGAAATAATCTCAGTACAATTCATGCGTTATAGCAAAAATAACTGAATTTATAGAAAAGAAAATGAAATACTGTTTTACTCCGACTGGGCAAATGAAGATGGGCATACGCCATACAGTGTGCCATCGTGGAAATTTTTCCCCGGCACAACATGGCCTACTCTTATATCGAATTTTCAACTGCCAAGGGATACACGGGACCTAGACAGCTATCTTTATCAGGCCCTCTGTCATGTTCCACTGACAAGGGGGTGGATTTATAGGCTGAACAGTCAAATCATCAACGGCAAAAAGTATCATTCAAATTTGAAAGTTGTGGTTAAATTTCAACAAGCTGTAGTATTTCAAGGAACTGTATTTAATTATACAACTGCATTGGCCGAGAAAGTTCATCCCGATTTTCCGACGTGGTTTCCCCTTGTCAGTGATGCAGGACGGAGGGCCTGACAAGGACAGCTGTCTAGTCCTTCGGATGAGACGAAAAACCGAGGTCCCGTGTAAACATTGGAATGCACGTAAAAGATCCCTTAGCAGTTGGAATTCGATATAAGAGTAGGCGATAGTGCCGCTGCCCGGGCAAAATTTCCCTCATAGCACACTGTATGGCGTATGCCCGTCTTCATTAGCCCAGTATAGGAGCAGAACAGTAGGACGTTAAACCCCATTTCATTTCATTTCAATTATAGAACTATACGTTGTCCCTTGTCGGGTCCTCTGTCTCTCCAGTGTTTGTTTTGCTCATTTCAGATCACCATCGAAAACTGTGTAAAACAAAGTTATTCATAAATAAACCAGCGGCTGCCAGGCAGGATACGCCCAAATTTTCGAGAGATGGATAGAGAACAAGCTAAAAAGAAAGTGATTTTTCCTACAATCAAGGGCCATAATTCAGGAAATTACAATTCGATATGCGCAAACATCGAAAGGAACCGAGATCTTTGTGTTATAAACTTACAAATAAAAATTGTGACCTCTATAGGGTCCACAAGCTAAAAACGCGATTTTTCGTACAATCAGGGGCCACAATTCAAGAAGTTACGGTCCGATATGCGCAAATATCGACAGGAACCGAGATCTTTGGGATATAAACTTACGTGTCAAGTTTCAACAAAATCGGATAAAAATTGTGACCTCTATAGGGTCAACAACCTTGATATACCATATTTTTACGCTATTTGAGAACGAACGGCGGCCATTTTGTCTGTCAATTTTGGGCCGATTTTCACGAAATTCAAACTCAGCTGTACTTAGGGCGTAACGGTGATCTAATAATACGTTTTTTTTTTAAATCGGATAATAATTATGACCTCTATAGGGGCCACAAGTTAAAAGCGCGATTTTTCGTACAATCAGGGGCCATACTTCAGGAAGTTAAAGTCCGATATGCTCGAATATCGAAAAGAACCGAGATCTTTGGGTTATAAACTTACATTTCAAGTTTCAACAAAATCGGATAAAAATGGTGACCTCTCTAGGGTCCACAAGCTAAAAACCTGATTTTTGGTACAAACAGGGGTCATAATCCATGAAGTTTCGAACCGATACATGCCAATATCGAAAGCAGCCGAGATCTTTTGGAGATAAACCTATATTTCAAGTTTCGTCAAAATCGGATAAGAATTGTTACCTGTAGAGTGTCCACAAACAAATTGTGGACGGACGGACTGGGGCGACGACAATATACGTCCACATGAAAATATACACCTTATATATACACCTTACCATCGGATGGAAAAGTTATATTTTTTCCTTGAGGGAATTGTAATATTTTCGCCATTGTCTAGCTATCAGCTCTTTATTCATTGGAATTTCCCGTGACATCATCATTCGACAATCGTCTGCACTGATAGAAAATGCACTGTTCCATTCGGATGTTTCCAGGACTAAATCAATAGAGAATACCCCGCGATAACAATATCTCGAAATTCTAGAAAGCACATTTTTGAAATGTTGAACTTCATCGAAAACACCTGGACCTTCATGGAGCATTTGGTACCAAAATCTTTCTAGAAATAAATCATAGATCATCTGTTCGGCGAACTGTAAATATTTTAATAATTTTATCGAATCTTCCGTTAAAGTTAATGGTGAATGACGTTTGTTGACATTTAATTTAAGATAAATTATGTCTTTTAATTCCCAGCAGAATAATCGTCGCATCAAAACCAAGGATTCGTCAAAATATTCCATGATTAACACTAGAGAGAAATCATTTTTAATAATGTCAAGATAATTCGACATGAACGATTTACTTTGATTTCTGGGGTGGACACCGAAATCCGTGGCCTGATTTAAACCATCTGCGGTATGGCTTCCGGCACGTGCCCTTTCGAGTAGGTGATTCTCCAGCCGTAGACGTTCGGTCTCAACATCAGGTTCACTGACTTTGTTTTTCGACAGTACTCCGTAATAATAGGCAGCAGAGAGAAATCTATATGGGGGATTACGGACGATGGCTATATACGTCGTATCTGGATCGAACCAATCTTTAAACTGTTCCCGGTCATAGGTCACGTGATTACACAGTATATCATAGCGCTGACCTATCGGCGCCGGGATTATATGACTGTAATCACGACCTATGACGTGGTACATGAAGGGCTGTAACGTCTGATTCTTATCTGGAAGTAGAAGGTTGAGGTCATTATTGAGTGCGAATCGTTGCAGTATGTTGGATATAGAAGTACTCCCAGCTTTGTGTACCTGGAAGAAAATACAAACAGCATTTGGTAACTGACAGAAGTGACAAAACGATACAGAGAAATATTCGAGACCCTAAAATCATTAGAAATACTCGTTTTCCATGTGCGCGTTTTCGCGTGCATGCAAAATGGGCCTAAAAGCTATTGCCACTTCTTGGAATTTTACAAATGTTTATAAATCTGACCTCTGGTAAAACGTTTATGGGGTTTACGTGCCCTGGCCTTATTCACGTGACACTTGTTATCAGTGCTGTGCCAAGCTTACGTGTTGTGGTTCGATTCACGAGATACGATTCATCCGTTACCATTTTTCGTGATGAGTTTACATGCCCTGGCTATATTCAAGGGGCACCTTTTACCAGTTTCCGTGACGAGTTTACGTGCTTTTTTTCGCTTTACGGGACACGTGTAACCGGTTTCCGTGACGAGTTTACGTGCTGTTTTTCGACAGATGTTCAAGAAATATCCATTTCAATTAAAAAAAATCGAAAATAAAACACACTTATATGGATATACTACTTCTGAATTTATTAACATGCTACGTTTCGATACACATACAGATATCGTTTTCAAGCAAATAATGATAATCAACAATAATCAACAATTAGCATGTTAATAAATTCAGAAGTAGTATATCCATATAAGTGTGTTTTATTTTTAGTGAAATCTATTTCTATATGTCTTATAAGGATTATAAAAAAAAATCGACTTTAATTTTTTTTTTTAGCAAAATCTTCTTTGATTTTTTCATGAAAATCCTATTTTATCCTTTCATGAAAATCATTTAAAAAATTTTATGAAAATTTGTTTTTAATTTTCTAAGCAAAACCTTTTTTTTTTATTTTTTCAGCAAAATCTTTTTTAATTTTTTTCAGCAAAATTTTCTGCAAAATTTTAAAAATATTTTTCAGCAAAATTTTAAAAACATTTTACAGCAAAATTTAAAAATAAAAATTCAACAAAATTTTAAAATAAAATTTTTTCAGCAAAATTGTTTTTCCAGCAAAATCTTTTCGTTTGCAAATAACATAACATTTGTGATTTAATACTATAATGTAGATTAATTACCTTTAAGAAAGCGATTTTGTTTACTTTTGGACAATAACCAAGCCTGTTTATTATTTTCCTGTATTTCATTGTTGAAGAAATTTGATAATAGTTTGTGCAAAAGAAGAAACCAGAGAGCAACAACAGACATCCACTGAAATATAATATATGGTCAAATTAGCTAAGCTTCTGGGTGGTTATAAAGCTTAAAGGGGAAGACCAATGATTTTCAACAAGGTTTCCATAAACCTTAAATATATATTGTTAAATAAACCCCTCTGTAGCACAATCAAAAAAGTTTTTGTAAGTAAGAAATTAATTTTTATTCAACCCGGAAGTGACATAGTTGGTTCAACACGCTCACTGGGCTCTATAGTAAGCATAGTACATATTTGTCAGAAGTTTACTGCTGTATTGTTTTCACGCGTCGTCCTTTGGCCAAAAATCTGATCCAATGGGCTGTTTATTAGGATATAATGGTGTGATAATTTGCCAAACGCTAAGATAATTCAAGTTTCTTAAATTAACCACTTTAAGATCAACTGGCTAGTAAGTCGTTAACCTGCAATCACTTTTGAACCCGTCATTTGGTGACGACATTAATCCAATCTATTGTTTTTGTTGATTTATTATATTGTTTAATCCTTTATGCATTGTTCATCTATCGACGTGTCCGTTTTAATTACAACATTTACTTTTATCCTATTAACTAGTTTTCCTTAAATATAACAAAATGGTACATTGATGGCAGTCACTAGTTAGGATCCCTTACTGGCCTGACAGTACTGTATGACGATATATGTATATTTATGTACCAGTATATTTAAGAATTGAAGAATCATTCAAAATCTGTTATATCCGAAGAGAGAATTTACACCTCTAAAATATTATAAACACGAATTTATGTTTTTTTAACGTTTAGTACACAAAGCCGTAAATTCACTCAAACTGAACAGTACGCTGTGCCTCAATTCAAGCCACATGAATACTGTAAACGTTTCGGTCTTTGATTGTATGTTAGCATTGGGGAAGTTGGCTACATGAGTTGGAGATGGTAGAGTGTGTCCATATCGAAATAACATTAAACTATTGTTTTAATAAATCACCCTAAAAGTTGACCAATATTTCGAGGTTTAAAAGGGTTAGATATTTTTGATATGTTCTTAAAAAATAGTTTAGATATACAGTACCCAACCCTAGCCACCCTCCACCCCATTCGTGTTCTCACAAACTGATTTTTTGATAAGTAACTGCCTTCATCAAACTGTGTTTTTTAAATTATTTTGAAGACAACTTAAACACCTTTCCTCCATTCCATTCCCCTTTTATCAATGAACTATTATAAATGTGCGTTTCCGTATCCTTTCAATATTGTACTTAAAAGTATAATTTATCCAAGACTATATCAAAATATATGAAATAAAAGTGCGAATATATAAAGAATTGTGGGTGGTGTAAATAAACAAATATAGTCAATTATGGGCGGTGTAATATGAAAGTATAAAATAACTTTTAACTCGCTTTGTGAGAGTTATCTGATGTCTGAAATAATTTAAATCTTAACTATAAATTTTAATATAAGACGCATTATCGATTATAATAAAATCGTACTTTTCTGTTTACTAATTTATGTATTATCATATACTTAAAGCAATTGTAGCAATAAGGGTCGTTTATCAGACGTGGAGAGCGGCCGACGCTAAACCCCGGTCGCCACATCTGGCGTGTAACCCATGCAACGTTTCTTACTACATATTTAGGAACAGCCCTTGATCGTCTAGGTGTTGGTTAGCTCCGGACTGCTTACTGTTGGCTCTTTATTCTTGTAGGACTTCACCATTGTGTTTTCGTACGAACCTGACTCAAATAAGTAACAGGAACAACGATAGTTTTTTTTCTATACGTTTTTATGTCACAACAGTTACACAATAGTCTACATTACAATATTTAAAATTAACACCTCCTTCTCTCAACCCCAGTCCTGTAAAAGTGTAACCAGCGTGGCTAGACTCGGGAAACCACTACATCGTGAAATGGTCGTCTAAAGGACCCAACGCGTGTCTGATCTCTAAAGAATCCAATGCGAGTCTAAAAATTTATTCTAGCCCTGGTCTCTCTTATAGGTGCCGAATGGCCTAGGCTAATTCGTAATTTTCCACTCGCGTGTATTTCAAACAATAACAACTTATCCTAGAGAAATGCAAATGACCAACATGTTTACTTAACTCTAGCTGCGTTAACGTATCTAAATAACCAGCATACTTTCTATATTTTTGGTTATGAACTAAGAATCAATAATTTGTAAAGATAATGATATTGTTTCGGCCATCATATTTCTCCCTCCCTAGTCTTTAGCCCCCATGTCCTGTTATTGTCACAATATTTCATAGACAATTTTAATTTGCATTTCAGAATCAGCTTATACCATAGCTAATATTTTGGCAATGGAGAATAATTGATCAAAACTATAACATTATTTTACATAGATGTCCTTAGCACTAATCCCTGCCATCCATATTACTACAAAGTGCGTTATTAAATCATTGAAATCTAAATATAAACAAGTATTAATTCGTTTTGGTATAAAGAAACGTACTTTTCCGTGTATATATAATCATGATATAATAATTTGATATTTGACATAAATCGACGAGTATTTTAAAGATACATTCCCGCGTACAAACTGGGTGATATGGTATATATGGACCAAGAACATATTCAAACTAATTAATTTGTCATAATTATGCTTCAGATCCTTCACAAACATTGTAATTGCGAAGGAATGCCCTGCTATTAAAATTCGATCAAACCAGGTCATGTTTACGTCACTTCTTGGGAGACAGGGGAGAATTCATTGCATACATAAGACGATGTTGTCTTTAATCGCTTACTATTTATTACAAATATCGAATCCTAATTAAATTCTCTGATTATCCACTACCCGCGTCTTTTTCCGTCATTTTTATCTCAGAAAGTATTGTACGTCTAACTCTTCATAAAGTTTATCAACTTGTACATCAAGCGCTCAATGTTCGCTTGTGACCTTTGACATGCGTGCAGAAGTTCCTAATCGTCGGGCTGTTTATTAGGGGAACCCTTACATTTTTGTCCTGTATACGCTCCATGAGTGTTTTTCGGGGAATCCAGTATTTTTCTAGTAAAATTGGATATCTCTACTTTCCATATATACCAAAATTGCCATACTTTTATTGGAAATAACCACCCGATAAATACTTTTCTTGGAACCCAACTTTAATTCGCGTTTATTTTACAAAACAAGTATTTTTTTACTAGGGCCCTTATTCACGAAAACTTAAACTAAGATACAATCGAAATTTTAAGAAATACTGCAATTCGATTGGCTGACCAGTAAATTCAATTTGCATATATCCAATTTGCATAGGTCAGCCAATGGAATTGCAGTATTTCTTAAAATTTCGATTGTATCTTAGTTTAAGTTTTCGTGAATAAGGGCCCAGATTTGTTAAATTATACTTTTCGGCTTAGTAAAATCATTATATTAATCAATGCAATAACAGAGATTATTTTATCTTAATTAGGGAGCCACGGTGGCTAGGTGGTTAAGACGCTGGCTCGCTAGCCTGGAGGTCGGGTGTTCGATCCCTGCATTGGCCGAGAAAGTTTATCCAGATTTTCCGATGTGGTTTCCCCTTGTCAGTGGTGCAGAACGGAGGATCTGACAAGGACAGCTGTCTAGTCCATCGGATG